GATGCGGTGAGACTACACGGCCGGGAGTCTGCATCCAGGATTAATTTGAAATAAACATGAGGATCAGGAAGGACGCACCTTGCCTCGTACTCCGGCTGCTTCCGCTCGAGAATCTTGATTCTTGGAGTAAGTTAAATTGATTCCAGTTAGTTATAAACCTTTGTTATTTTTCCATAGATTTTCTTCTTAAATATGAATTAAGATACTCATCGCGCGCATAAGTGCGCGCGCGACATCATTGCGCCCTGGGGAAGTCCCTCGGGGACTGTGGTAAATAAAAGCATAAAATTATTTGAAACGCGTCGATGCTAAATGTAAATTTTTGAGATTATTGATCATTTAACAAAACAACTGGACCAACTGAAGAATGCATATAATTAAGTAAAAGAAAAAGTCATTTGATCAATTTGATGGATCAAACGGCACATGGACGGCGTTTTTTTTTACTTAATTATATTGCATTCTTCATCAGTTGGTCCAGTTATTTTCTTGATTGTTATTATTTATTTACCATTACTAAGTGATTACTATTTTGACTTTGTATTTCTGAATCATCGTCGCGATGATGTCATGCCTGGTCCAGAGAAATGTAGATGTTATTTTGTTTGAGTCTAATATATAAAAAAATGTATCGGTTAATTGTTGGCAAGTACTTTACAGGATATCTCCAAAGTAAAGTATACCAGTAGAATAGAATAAAATAGAATTTATTACACTTCAGCATTACATAGCCAAGAAGGGGATTTGGTTTACAATAAATTCTTACCTCATTCATCCTTCCATACTTCATATGAGCTTTTATTTAACTATTTTACTATTTAACTATTTATTTTTTATAAAGTATACCAGTAAAAATATTGTATTTTTCGTATAATGTTTATAGCGAAACTTGCATGTAAATCTCAAGTGCTAAAGTTTGCGGATAAAATTCAGAGTAATCATCTAAAAATTTTGAAATTTCTATCTTGGTTGAACAGACAAATTTCGACATTTCTGTATGTATAACTCTTGAAAAATTATAGTTAAATTTTGTTCTTTAAGATTGTTACAAAAGATTGGACCTTTATATCCGTAGATTAAATCCGTAGATATGTAAAATTTTAAATTCTTGAAGAGACTTTTTGTAAACACGCTTATACAAACTTATCGTTTTTCCTTTTTACTTGTTTTTAATTCTTAATCATCTTTAACAAATGAAAACTCGGGCTTTCTTTCAGAAATTCGAGAAAATTAGATGGCAAAATTTTTTTTTATTGTAAACATATATATTTTATATTAAAAATGATGGTGATTTTTCCAATTAAACTGTATGATCGCAAGATTACAAATTATTGAATTGATTGGTATATTTCAATATATAAAAATAATTTATATTTATTGATAATTTAATATTTGTTTAACTAATTTTGTCATAAATTTTATTATTAATTGCAAAAAGCTGCATTCGTTTATTTTACATGTAACTACAAAAAATTATTAATTATCTCATTTTCATTGCTTTTTTTGCATATAGAAAGCAGGTTAAAATTATTTCAGTGATGGCTTTTTAAAACTATATAAGTGTTTATTTATATTATTTTTTCTTTTTTGTACAAGAAAGTAATGATAAAAAAATATCGTTTTCAAATTTCGGATTTTTTATATATCTATATATATAATTCTGCTAAAGTTAGCACAAAGAGAGAACTTTGGTTAATAAATATCCTTCAATTTTCATAGCTCGATCATCAAATCAGTAGCGTTCCCTTATTAATTTCGTTCAATGACGGATCTTTATCAGATAAATAACCGAAGTTCTTCGCTAACTTTAGCAGAATTTTAATTCGAGATTTATGAAAATATTTTTCTTGTATCTACTTTGTATCTCGCGTAAATATTCGATCGATTACTCTTGCTTTCATCGGGATTTCTTTACGGTTGTATTCTCGGCAAAAATTTCGATACGTATCGTAATACAATCGCAAAAACTCTTGGTATCAATAAAAACTTGAATTCCACAGCTGTAAACATTCACGTTTCCGCGTGTGAAATCGCTGTTTCAAATTCTTGCTTAAGAACGTTGTGTTTGAGTAACAGGATTTCCATCGGGTGCGACGACCGTTGCGCGATCATCGTATAAATCGCGCCGTCTCGATCGCTGTACCGACCTAAATAAAGTAACCCACATTCGACTTTTCCGTGATGATCATGCGACTTATCGCTTTGAATGTTTAATCTCTATATTCGATTCAATTTCATCTTCCTATTCATTCTTTTTATAGTAATATATTTGGCATTAAATTCTTGCTTTTTCATTTTTATAAAATGTCACTCGCAATGAATATTTGAGATCTTAAAAAGATTTAATAAAAAGTTTCTGTTTAATCGCAAACTTCTCCAACATCTAATATCTCTCTCTCTTTCTCTCTCCCCCCTCCCCCTCCCGCCTCTCTCTCGTTGTTTCAGAATTTTATTAAACGAAGTTTGATTATTAAAGCCGAAATACTTTTTTAATAATAATTAGACTTCGTTTAATAAAATTATTTGATAATTTATGAAATTCGCGATTTGCACAGAAATAATGTATGGTATCGCAGCATGAAAAATAGACCAGCGAAAGTTCGATATACGGAAACTAGATACGGAACTAGAATGGAAGTCGCAGAATAGAAATTAATTATATATATCGTTTTAAATAATTACTTTTTAAAAATGATGTTTCATTATCGGTATAATTCGTATCTCATAATAATCTCTGTCAGAAATTATGAAATCGGATTTTTGCTAATATTGGAGCAACGATCGAAGCTTTCTTCTATTTTTAGGATTCTTCGAAAAATCGTTTCAAAACGTAGAACGTTTTGCACAGTATTAGTCATATACTATCGCGAGCTGGATTTGAAATCGGAAAGGAGCTTTGCCAACGTTGGAATAATGATTGGCGACGACAGTTTGGGGTTGGTGGCCGCGAGAGCTAACCGACCGGCGGAGGGGACGAGAGGGGCTAACGAGTGAGTCATCGTTGAGCCAGGCCAGGCCTTAGCAGCCGCAGGTCAGGAGAGGAAGACACTTTTAGCCCACATTTCTTCCTCGCCTTCTCTCTCCTTTTCGCGTTCACGGCGTTCCTTTATTTTTATCCGCCGCCGTTTATTCTTGGCCCGTCGTTTCTTCCTTTCCGCCCATTTTTTCCGCGCCGTCGCGTTATCTCACTCCCTCCTCCCTTATCCGTATTGCTGTCGTGAACTGGAAGTCTTCAGATGGTATCATCCTTTAAGATTCAGCTTGGATCTTGCTTCTGCGACTCTTACAATTGACGTTTACGTAAGTCGCAGAGAGAAGGATTCATAAAAGCCTATAGCACTTTTTTTTTATTTTTTTTTTATGTAAATATATGTATGTACATTTCAAAGTCTCTTCAAGTTTCCAAGAGCTGATCTTGAAATATAAAAAAACATAAGCTAAACCGTTTTATGAATTGACTTTCCACGAAACGAAAGCTAATTGCGCTACTATTAATTGTAGTATACGCAACAATTGCGATGTAGACTCTTCTTTTCTCCGTATTTATTAATTGCGAAGATCCTTCACTCGTAAAGAGTCTTGAAATATGATTTTTCTAATCTGTGAGATATCCACACGAGGCTTCGAATTCTGTTCGAATACTTCAGTCGTTTGATCGTGAGATAATTAAATTTAGGCTCTTTGTATTTTTAGATTTCTAGAATTTGATCGCTTCTTGTATTCTTTGATCTTCTTCCAAATGCGCTTCACATTTCTAGAATTTCAAACAATGCTTGGATGTCAGGTTTCAAGATCCTACAATTAGCGCAATGACTGACTTTCTGAAATTTTAGATTCTTCGAGATCTTTAAGGATGGTATTCATAGTCCGTTCTTATTTTAAAACCGTCCTAACTAATACAGCTCTCGGATTGGTTCATGACATTTTAAGACAGTATTTAAGACAATCTCAGATATAAGAATCGAATATTATGAATACCGACCTAAGATTTCTACGATTTCTGATTTTCTAGACATGGCGAGACATTTAATATGTGCGTTTATAATTTAACGATTAAATTAATTAATTTACCTGATTGATCATTTATTAAATATTTATCTTGACTTATATATACAGTGGTTTAAGGTTATCGTGCACCTTTCCAAACATACAAATAAACATCAATGTTAGATAACGTCAAGTTGACGACACCAAAGATTGATGTAGTGTGATATTTGTTCCTCATCTCATATTTTTTATCAAAAGGAAAAACATCTATATGTAAAAATCCAAAGACTATAAATGATAATTCTCTAGACGACGATTTATAAGGAATCTGCAAATATATATAGAGAAAGAGCCGCGCGAGTTATAATTATTTAGGAATACGGAACGTATATATCCGAGTTAATCAATAAGTTGCCTCTCGACTACGTTTCTCCTAGTATTTCTAACAAATATAGAATCGTGACCGACCATGTACTCATTGTTTATCGACGACGAGCGTTGTATATGTTCCATATATACTTTCGAAAGCAAGTACGTTTGACTTTGTTCGCATTAATTTTTGTGTTGTGCGAATTTAGGAATGAAACTATTATCTTGAAAATGAACTACTCACGAAATTTTTTAATACTCTCCAACAATTAAACCAAAATTAAAAGATATTCTTGGAAAATGGGCTACTTACAAGACCAACTAATATACCCTCCAAAAATTAAACAAAAATTGAAAGATATCGATCGATGTCCCATTTTCCCTTACATTTATCATTAGTTAGAATTCATAAGTCTAAATTTTAAGCACTAAAATTTTGAATCAGCATACATATATAATATATCGTATATTATATTATTATACATATAAAATAAGAATAAGAATATGAGCGATATGAGTCTATGAATACATCACATGAAAAGTCGCCAAATACGGTCAAAGCTACATAATATACTTAATATATATTATAATATACATAATAGATCGAAATATTTCTTTTATTAATTAATTACCAAATATTTCAGGTGGACACCGGGAGTTCCACAGGCGGCACCGAGAGCTATGCGAGGATACGCTTCTGCCAAACGGCGCCGCCGCCGCTGCTGCTGCTGCCGCCGTCGCTGCAGATCCGTCGACGACGACGGTGAGCGGCTGCACGAGTCCTGGACCAGGTTGTCCCGTGCTGAGCATCTCCGGCCCGCCGACTCCGCAGCCGGCCGACATCGACAGCCACCCGGCGTCCCGCGTGCTGCCATTTCTATACCTCGGTAACGGCAGAGATGCCGCCGATCTGCAGCTACTTCGCGCCCTCGGCGCCACCCGGGTGCTGAACGTCACCTCACAGTTGCCCGGCTACCACGAGGAGCGGGGTATCACGTACAGGCAGATACCCGCCTCGGACTCCGGCCATCAGAACCTCAAGCAGTACTTCGAGGAAGCGTTCGAATTCATCGGTGAGTGTGAAATTTGTTGTTTCGATCGTTTTAAGTTTTTCTCTCTTTTTTTCTTCTACTGTCAGAGAGAACAGAGAAGAGGTTTATATAAGAGAGTTTAAATTAAAACGAAAGACTTATCATTTTTTTTTTAAACCAGAGACGCAAAAAGAATCCAGATAACAAGCACGTCCAAAAAGGGGACATGAGATGTCTTACAAACGTCTTGAGGATATTTTTATAATATGATGTCAGAAAGACATTTTGATGACATCTCTCTTTAATTCTATCATTTTCCTTCATCTATTTAAAGAAGAGAAAGAAAGCTACCTACTCATTACGTTTATATTTAGAACAATTGCACTTTGAATTGCAGAGAGTTGAATCGAATGGTATTTTACATTGGTGTCATCTGTTTAGTTTCTTAAAAATGACAGACTTTGTAACTTTTTTTTTATCGAAAAATGTTGTCGAGGAAACGATTATCGTTCTATTAATTGTTCAGGAATTTAACATTTCTTTTCTCTGGAACGCAATCAAATAATTCAAAATCGACGCGCCATTCCTTGATTCACGATATCGCGAATCCACGTGATGATCGTCGTAATTTCCACGATTACACAGACGGCACACTTCCTGCCGTCCTTCTTCCGGTCGCTCCGTTGCGTTCATTCCGTTATTTCGCGGCAAGTAGTAGTAGGCCCATGGACGGAAACAGGGTGTAACCAGGCGTTTCCGGTGGACCATTGAACCAGAGCGCCCGAACGGCAGGAGACCAGAAGAACCTTCCATTCATGAAGGCATGAGTCATGCGCGCGCGCGCGCGCATCCGTGAAACGTAAGAGACCTCTCCCTTCACCCTTTGACCCTGCGTTCTCTCTCCTCCTTCATCCTTGATGTTGATTTCTTCTCTCGCGCGTTTACGCGCTGTTCTACGCGTGCACCGCGCATCTGCGAGGAGAAGAGAGGAGAGGAGAGGAGAGAAGAAGGAAAGGAATTACGTATGGTAGGGAAGCAAAGCGGCAGTCGTGCGTGGCAATTGTAAGGGCTCGAAAAGGGACGAAAGAGAGAGGGATAGAAACGGGACGGAGAGGGATGGAGGGAAAACTGACCTCCCCCTGAACGTGCAACTGGTGGAATGCCGGTTGAATAAACCGACTCTGCACCCCGTCGCTGTTGGCACTCCGATTCTGAAGTTTACTTTCGAGAAATTCATTCCTTCACGCATCGTGATTCACTTAATCGCAAATTCAAGTAGTCCCCTTTTTTTCTTTTCTTTTGTCCGGACTTGCAATTTTTTTTACTGTTCATCTTCTCCGCTGAATACTAATAAACAAATATTACATCATATTATAATTTTCTGTTCAACATTGTAATTCTTATGTAGGTACATGTATTTTATATACATGTACATTATATATACTATTATTTATATTGATGAGTAAAAAATTATAATATTGATGTAATGTTACTGTTAGTTTGTGTTTAGCGAAAGATTGAAACGTAAAGAAATTAAAGAATATCTGTTTTTCCTTTTTTATTGACAGACTTAAAAGTGTTTAGATTATTATTTAGATTATTAAGTCTAACAAGATATTCAAGTTTGCGTAACTATCATTCTTCTTTTTTTCATTGGCCAGACCATGCAATTTTCTTTGCAACATACTATATGGCTTCTCAAGGAGGAAACGTAAAAAATATCTTTTCTTTAATATATGATAAAGATTGATTTAATTTTTTTAGAGGGAGTTTATTTTTTAAATCTTATGGCTTTTTCTTGAGTAAGTTTTATTATAATTTATTATTTTGTATTGTATTCCTCGCCTCAAAATATGATACTTTCAACGCCACTACAGTGGCTTTCCTATCCTAAACGTTAAAAGCGTTCAGATTATTACTAAGGTCTAATAAAATTTTGAAATGCGGGGTCAAAGTGTTATCTTTCGAAAGATGCGGTCAACTTGGTGTACACAGTCGAATTCTCTCGCGGTACGACATAACGTTTGCATAGTCTGCATAGGATCCGGGCGATGCAATGACTCACGCTGGCGATACGATAGCGTCCCCCATATATTGCATAATCTGAGTCGGTCGTTCGGGTTTCACGACTGTTTCGCTTCAACGTTCATGAGCTCATATTTTTCAAAAGCACGCGTTGCACAAAACAATCCCGTGAATCTTGAAATCTTTTTAAGTCCCAAACTAAACATAAACGCAAACTTTCAACACTGTAATAAAGTGACAACATATATTCGATGTTAATCTATGTCCTACAGATTAATATTGAATATGTGTTCTTAATCGCAATATATGTAGTTTCTTGAATAATTACGATACGCAATAAAGCATTTAAAAACGTTACTAAAATTTTTTATTTTGGATTGAAAAGAAATTAAACCCAATAATTTTCAAATGTACTATTATTTTTTCATGAATTAATTCTTTCTGTTGATTTTTCATTCAATTAGAAATAAATCGAAGCAATTACTTTCTTATTGTAATTGAAAAGTGATATAATTTTTTCTTCGATCCTCGAATAATTTTTTTATTACCATTGTTATAAAAAAAAAGAAAGAAAACACGCATTTATCATCTCGCAATTTGTCTTTTATTCCAGAGGAAGCGCGGAAAGCCGGAAGCAGCGTATTGGTGCATTGTCAAGCTGGTGTGTCGCGCAGCGCAACAATTGCGATTGCTTACATAATGCGACACAAAGGCCTGTCGATGGTGGAGGCGTACAAACTGGTGAAGAACGCGCGTCCGATCATCAGCCCGAACCTGAACTTCATGGGTCAGCTGTTGGAGCTCGAGCAGGGTCTGCGGGCGTCCGGTGACGTCGCCAACTCTGCGCCAGAGGAACCCACGACGACGACGGCAACGTCAACGACGACGACGACGTCGACAACGGCGACGACGACGACGAGTAGTTGTCACCAGTGCAGGTGGAGTCATCAGCCTAACAGCGAGGAGGTGGTCACCTCTGGCTGCAGTGTCTGAGACCACGCTTTTCTCTCGTATCTTCTTCTTCTGGTCTCTCTTGAGAGTACCGGATCATGTCGGCGACGGCGTCGGTGCGTCGCGAAGACGCAAACATATCCCGAGAGAGCGAATGTCGATGTCCTTCCTGCGTTTCTTCGCGACAAACCTGGACGATGAGCGAATGTAATTCGCGGAATCGCCGATCGCCTGAAGATACTGGATTCAACTATAGGAAGATTCTGCAAATATGAACAATGATGCCCTCGGTATCTTCTCTTGATATCCCGAAACGCGGAATTTTCAGTTTTCCCAATCTTCACGTCGCACAATATTTGAGTTGTCACGTTTTTCAACTCAGGCTCTTTAGCCTAGAAATTATTGGCTCTTAAATTTTTTTTTAGAATTAATACATTTTCTTCGAATTCCGTGTCTTCGGGACGACCATTCAACTAAAAATGGTGAAGTCAAACTGCCGAACTGACAAATCGCGACTTATTAAGGGACTTGAAGGGATACAAATGTGTGAAGAAGACACATCGTATTTTTATAAAAATTTTGATTTCTCTCTATGGATGATTAAATTATTATTTCCTATTAGTGCCAATGTAAATTAGTCCGTATCCTCCATATGTAAGAATAAATCAGTTTGTAAACGTTACAAATGCGATGTACCTTCTTCATACATACATCTAAGAAAAAAAGATAGTTACGGGTTAGATTCTCTACTGCGGAGAAACAAAATATATGGCAGGGAGCGTATTTCTCATAAAAAGAATTTAACCACGCTCGCTTCCAGCTTCGATAACGAGTAACAGCGCGTCGCGATTATTTATTTTCGAACGACGTTCGCGCGAACAGTGAACATAACTTGTACTTACGACACACAGTGTTCCATAATACGCCTGGTCGAGTCAATAGGGAGGCAAGTAAAACGTACAGAATGCTCGCCTACGATCTTCTCATTAAACGATTGACTATCGTCTAGCATTGTTTATGCAAGAAAATACGAGGAAGGAAGATATGAAATCGACGGAAGTGACTGTTCCAATGATTAATTATAGGCAGCTTATATAACATTGAAAGAAACTCAGGACAAAACGTTGAAAAATTGTTTCTGATGTTGATCAATTTCTATTAGAAAAATATATTATACATAATTATTCATGAATAGTAGCACTGCTCTCTCACGAAATATTTAAACTTCGAAGGTGTTTCGAAATCTTTAACCTTCGTATATGAATATGAAGAGACAGAGTATATATAATAAGCCAGCGTAGCGTGCACAGAAAGCAAATGAATCAAAATTAGTAAAACCAATATTCTTTAATCTTCCTACTAGGCGTAATACTTTTTCAATTTTCAACTAGTAAAACGCGCGCTTGCCTCTCAATTGACTCCTGTAAATCAGGCATGAATTTTTAATAGAAGAATTATTTTCCGTATGGAGAAGAGATAAAATCGTCGACATGTATGGGGTGTCACGAGGACAATATCGCGAGATTCTAGTCTCTCGACTAATAATAATGCTTTTGCAGTGATAGAGTCTCATCTCAGGTAATTCTATTTCCGGTATAATGTACTTTCTGTTAAGTCACGTTAATGAGAACGGTAACAATTCAATTAATTTTCAATGCCGGATCGATGAACATGGAATTAATAAACGTTAAACGTGATAGATACATGTTCGAAGGAATTTGGTTTAGAGACCTATTCCGATGCAAAAATAATATTCCAAGAGAAATATATTTTTATAGTATTATAGCTGTTTTCAGCTGGCATTTTATTTTGTGTGGACAAATAAATGATTATTTTGTATTATTTTCAAAAATTTTTATTTGGAATGAAATATGTTTAATAAAATACGAAATGTATGCGATTATGGTGAAGAAAGCAGAATTTTTTTCCGAGTACGCGCAGTTCTGTTACTAATACAATATTGCTCATAAGTATTTGCTGAATTAAAAAGTCCAAACAAAGCAGCAGCGTTGCAACATTGCAATCTATCAAAGAAATACTTCACCAATTTTTCCATGTATGGATATTTTCCCCAAGATATAAAGATAAGGATTTTTACCTGAAAAATCTTTTTATCTAACAGTAAAGAGGAATTGATAAATGCAATCGATGCTTTATATTATCTGTTTTATTCTAAAATAAAGTACGATCCTCTTTTTATTCTAAAATAAAATAAGATTTTCTATATTTGGAATATAAAAGGTTGTAAATTCTGTGATAGGCAAATACTTTCGAGCTATAGTGTATTTCTTCTCTCGAGGCACCCTGTACATCAGCATCACGTAAAATGAAATGTTGATTTATAATGATGAGTCTTCTATGGAAGAAAGGGACTGTAATTCATTAAGTAAAATCGAAACGATAACGATTATACATGCCGATAAATTAAAAAACGATGGTAAGAGAGAGAGAGAGAGAGAGAGAGAGAGAGAGAGCTAAGATGTAGGAGAGAAGAACAATAGGTATAATAAAACGTATCGATCGAGACTATAAATCGAGAGCGAGGGAGTTCGCCTGTCCGCGTCTGCATTTTCGATTTGCGGCGCGGTTGATATTTGATAAAGAAGAAATAACAAATAATATATCGTTCACTGAGAATAGCTTAGTTCGTTAAGCTCCCTTAGCATTTAAGGATCTGGTTGAGGTCCAACCATCGTGATCTAGTCGTTTGTTGGGATGATGATACGTACGATGATGTGAATGAAACAAGCACGTGAAGCGGCAAGATGCTCTTGTAGTTTACGGTAACCGGGAGAGTAATTGCGCAAAACGTATGTAATTATTAGACGGTAAGATGCAAGGAATTCTTTTTGCAAAGATAGGAATTGAAGGATTAGTTTCTGTTGTTTTGTACATGAGCGCCCCATGCACATTTGTCCAGACAAATTGTTCTTAAAGATACGACCAAACACGATGCAAGCGAATGTTCCAAAGTGAAGGTGCGTCAACTTTTACAGCTCGGTTTGCCATGGTAGACGAGAATTACTACCGTGCGAACAACGATCTCGCGGTTCGATCAATGAAGTATCACGTGGTCGCGGGTGGCGCCTTGTTAACGATTTAATTACAGCCGACAATAACTTCGTGATGAAGCTAATATCGCGAATCGCGGGAGGAGAGTTGCGAATGACGGTGGAAAGAGAGAACCAAGTTCCTTAGGATTTTGTCTACGAAACGACGAATTCGGTTAATTAATTCAATCTTGAACAAAACGGTACATATCAGCGAAGCGTTGCCTTGCGATGAACGACAGAGAACTGAAAAAAAAAATAGTCGTAGAGGCGCACGGTGTAGACAATTAAATGATATAAACAATTAGTTACCTTGCCAGCGATGCGGAGATGGTTGATATAATAAAAGCGTAGTACCTGTTGCATCACAAAAGTGTGCATGTGATTTTATCGAGACACTGGCAATAATCAGTACGACGATTTGCGATAAATCACGGCGTTTTTCATTAATCAAACAGCAGCGTAATCAAAACGGTTAATTAATCAACCGTTTGAGTCTTCGAAACAATTGAAACACGATTTATTTCTCCCTTGAGGATCGTTGTAGTGAATGGACAGAACTGGAGAATAAATCAGATTTTCAATAAAAAATGCACTTGTTAATACTTTCGCTTATCTTGTCGACCTTTCTATTCTCGTCGACAAAGCTCATTTTTTTAAAGAGTTTTTTTCAGTCTGATTTAATTTCCGGTTTCATTTATATTTATTTTTTATTGCATATCTAATTTATTCATAAATTTTACTTAAATTCTATTTAATCTTTGAAATCCAATCGACATTTTTGCATTAATTGCTAATCAAAAAATTATAATCTTGAAAGGCTTGGAAATTTTTTAGTGTATGCCCTGAAAAATATTCTTTCACAATTAAATAGATACGCTTGTCGTATAAACAATCAAACTGGCAATTATTTATTGCACGTCGTCGTATCTTTTTATTGTTAATAAAGGATGCGTGTGAAGGGCCGCTTGCCCTTTCGAGATGTTTGCGCCTTTTGGAAGTATCTTCTTGTGAACCAATCGATATTTCTCTTTAAATGCGACATAAAGTATTTTAACAAAGTTTTATACAACGTTTTGGAAAATTACACATCGTAAAGCTTTACGAGTCGAACTGTTTCCGGGGTCTTTTAGTGGAATAAGTTTCGATAACAGGATAAATAGAAGGATTAAAGCGTACATTTCGAAAGGATGAGAGCAAAGAGCGAACATAGGAAATGGGGACGGATTTGAAGGTGGAAGACCCCAAATGTGTATGATCGGATCCCAACGATTTGTAATGTACAGCTACGTAGTGATTAGGAAACATTAGCGTAAAGATGTAACTATATTGCGTATGTGCGTGCAAGTATTGTATTATATTAAAAATTTATTTAGTTATTTTATGAATAAAAAATGCAAACTCTTTTTGCCGGTTCACATTGGGGACTGTTTCAATGCCACATTTCCGCGTACGTCACTGATCGGGCGATTCTGTATCTTATCTCACTTTAAACCACACAACTTAAATTAGTTGAAAAGAAATTATTCATGCAGAATGATTATATCAATGAGTGTACAGAAAAACAAATGCAAGAAACTTTCCTCTGTTTTAAATAAGCCTTTACTTATTTTTAATACGTCGAAAGGAACGAGGACTGAAGTACGATAAATCATTGAATGGCTGGCAATAAAAGTTTTTCTTTAAACAATTTTACATATTCTCGTTACATTGTCCCGCGTATCACACAAGTTCATCGCGGAAGTTTCTCCTAATCAAATGCATCGCTATAGAATTATCTGCGTGTCTATATGTACATAGAACTTTGTACGGCTCGTGGTATAATAATAATATTAATAGTAATAAAATAATAAAATAATTCATAATCTTACATTATCATGTGTTGCAAGTATAAAATTTACATAGAACGTCCATTCTTAATTATTACAATAGAAAACGGATTAAGTTGTTTATGTCATAATCGGTTTCTTTCAATGTATATCTGTTGCGTTTATCTAGCTTTAGCTTGATTGAAAACATCGAAACAAAAAATGGCAATTAATCGGCAATTAAGATAGCAAATATATCAATAATAAACGTGCGATCTGTGCCTGCGACCGAAGCTCTGCAAGTGATTTAATCGTCACAATATCTTTACAAGGTCGAGGATTGCCATTGCTTTTTACAAAATGTAACTTGCATTGCAGCTTGCAAAGACATATATTTATACTTTCTGCAGCTAACACTGTGATTAGAGAATTATCTGTTTATTTATAATGACTCAATTTGTGATACGCACTAAAGTTAGGTTTACTCTACTTAGGTATATCTTCCTTATTGCCTAGGATGATCCATAAATCATGCATCAGAAAAAAAAATCAATTACCACGAATGCAATATAAATATATTTTTTTAGTTTTGTTAAACTAAATATCTAAACTTTATCACTATCAATTTAAGTTTTTTTTTTAACTTTCATTACGAGCTAATTCGCATTTACATATTTGAAATTCTCAGCCTTTCATTAAAAAAAAATAGGACTCAATATAATATGTGATTTTCAGTTATTTTACAGCTTCATAGCCACCAATAAAAGAAAAAAGCATGACAAAAAATTTTCCTGTATCATTTTCTTTCTTTTTTAGGCTTTACTTTTTATAAAAATTGAAAATATAAATTCATACATGAAAAAAGCTTTAAAAAAAACTCGATAGAGGAAGAATAAATTCAACCTTAAATTATTTTATATCATATCGAATAAAAGAAAGCATATAATATATCACAAAAACGATTAAAATACTTAGTGCATACAATTTTTATTTCAATAAATTTGATAATTTTCCAAAAATCCAAATGTAACAAATAGATTCTATTAGTTTAATTAACACTCAATAGAGAAAGCATTAAATCATTCCCTTCAATTATTTTGCATTTTATATTACATAAATATACATGTATATCACAATATCAACAATGATTAAAATAGTTAACATAATACCGGATTTTCAGTCATTCAGCCTATGGCTGTTGCAAATCTCCTAACAATCAAAAAATTAGGATATAATGCAAAAATTAAATTTCCGTAGGATAAGAAAATCGTTTTTGCAAATAAAAGAGAAATACTAAGAATAATGATCAAGGGATCAACAAGGTGCGCGACTTATGGCTCATCCTGCATCGGCGATTATCGTAAAGAGCAAAGAGCCAAAAAGGCGTGATCTTTATTACACGAAGAGGATTAATTGCTGGCTAACGCTGCCATTGCGCGAATCAACGTAGCATTCTCCTCGCGAAGTCGATCTCGTTCCAGGGTCATCTCATGTTGTTGCTTTAAAAGACGAGCTTCAAGCGCTATTATTTTATGGTCTCGATCTTCCAGAAGGGATAGCAGCCTTCTATTTTCCTCTTGCGCTCGTTCAATCAGCTATAAATCGCATCGTATTTGATTATCATTGCCAAGTTATACGATTATAATTAATACAATATAATAGAAAACAGATCCAGAATAATAAAATTTCGAAATGTGTTTCTTTCGTAAAAAGTTAATTTTTTATGTACGATTATGCATATTTTATCTTAAGTTATTAATGACTCACTTCGTGCGGGTTGTCGCCTGTTGGCGTTGGTAATCGCGGTCTGACAGTCGTATTGACAGACGTCTGCGGTTCATGATTGCCATGATCCGATTGATTAATGCTGTCGGACTGATTGAGAGAATCGAATTCTTCG